TACTTCAGATCATGACAGGAGATAAGACTAAGTTCAGAGAACATAACCTTGAAATACCATTCTGAAAAACTATCTACACTCTTGCAGAAATTGTGCTATTTGGAAAACAAAACAGTTCTGAGTGAGGACACTCATAAGTAAATAACAACCTGTAGAGATTGATAGGCTTGTGATTAACCTTGAATTAGGTGATGGAGAAGATCTTCTAACATGTAAGCATGCTGACAAGCTTTTCTCCTGTTTTATCTCTTGGAGGAAAAATTGTACAGCCCTAAAAAATAATGAGGCAGTATGGGCTGGTCCTGTGTTCTGCATTTATATGAAGAGTACCAGCTTTTGTAAAAAATCCTTACTCACTTTAATGAGCTTGTTTTTATGAGTAATGTTTACAGAACCCCCTGAGGATTTATTTTTTGACCCTTTGGACATGACTCACATACATTTTTTTTCATTTTTTCAAGGTCCCCGATACTATTCAAGTTGCTGATGGTATTTTTAAAGAGAAAAATTTTGGGGGAGGTGGGGGGGGCAATGTGAGATGAAGAGGCTCAGGAAAATGAGAAATAAATTTTTAAGGTGCTTGAATATAGGAAGTGAGCAGAAATTTCGCATTTTGAAACATAATGCTGCAAGCATTGAATTATGTTAATTTGCATTCTTTCAAAACTAATACATTGTAAGATTTTCATGCATTAAAAAGAATTCTTAGCTGAGTGAGAATTAGTTCTTTACTAGGAAATAAAGCAATGTCTTATTTTAATATTTAATATGTATTTTTTTAGTCCAAGATTTCTTTATGTGTGGCCAAATGCTCGCATATCAGTGATGGGAGGGGAACAAGCTGCAACTGTTCTAGCTACAATAGCTAAGGACCAAAAAGCAAGGGAGGGAAAACAGGTACATCTTTCTTCTTTCATTTGCAGTAATGTCATTATCATTTACTCTTTCACTTTATGAACTAAGAAAGGATGTTACAGAGAGAGATACCAATGAACTATGATGCTCCCAATGCCATCTAGTGCATTGACAAACATGAAGCATTTGTGTAATGTTATGGTTTACATCTTCTAAATGTGAAGAACTTTCATGACATTGCTTGTCTTTGCTTAAAAAGAGGAGTATTTCTGATATCATCGTCTTTTTGTATTCTGTGCACCAGATTATTACTTCTGCCCAAGAGGAGCAGCCAGGGATCCTCCCTGGTTTGAGAGTATGAGGAGGAATATGTAAGAACAAACTGTCTTTCCAGTTATTTTTGAAGTAGGCAGTTTTACAGAAAGCTTCAAATTATTCAGTGACTGAGAATTGTGAAACCTGTGACAGCAGACAGCTGTAGACGTTTGGAAAAGGTTTTGACTCAGTTCAAGATTTTGATGGAAAATTAGTGGTATTTTGTTTAAGAATCTTTTCTAGTTTCTCAGTATGCGCTTTTCTGCTGTGTTTTTTAAATTATATTGTTTATGTTTGTACTGGTGCCTTGGTCCCATAAGAAGTGATTTTATTGTGATTTCTTAAAATTGCTTGTATTTATCATGAGTAGTTACTCAGAATAATGAAGTGGTATGTACATATTATCTCAACAATTCTTTTTTCTACAGTATACTTGGGCTCTCTGTGGATAGAATATATTCATAGAATCATAGAATGGTTTGTGTTGGAAGGGACCTCAAAGATCATCTAGTTCCAACCCCCCTGCCTCGGGCAGGGACACCCTCCACTAGACCACGTTGCCCAAAGCCCCATCCAACCTGGCCTTGAACACTTCCAGGGATGGGGCATCCACAACCTCTCTGGGCAACCCGTGCCAGTGCCTCACCACCCTCACAGTAAAGAATTTCTTTCTAACATCTAATCTAGATCGACCCTCCTTCAGCTTAAACCCATTACCCCTTGTCCTGTCACTACACTCCCAGATAAACAGTCCCTCTCCAGCTTTCCTGTAGGCCCCTTCAGGTACTGGAAGGCCACAATTACATCTCCCCGGAGCCGCCTTTTCTCCAGGCTGAACAACCCCAACTCTCTCAGCCTGTCCTCACAGGAGAGGTGCTCCATCCCTCCAATCATCTTTGTGGCCCTCCTCTGGACTCACTCCAACAGCTCCATGTCTCTCCTGTACTGGGGCCCCTAGAGCTGGACGCAGTACTCCAGGTGGGGTCTCACCAGAGCGGAGTAGAGGGGCAGGATCACCTCCCTTGACCTGCTGGTCACACCTCTTTTGATGCAGCCCAGGACTGCATCTCTCTCTGTCTTAATTTCCCAAATCCCTAAGATGGACAGGATGATAATCAGAAAGAATTTTGAGAAAAATAATTGTACTTAATGTCAGTAAAACATGTTAGAAACTTGAAAATTTTTTGGATTACAGTGATGACCACTCGGGATCATAGAGAAACCTAGTGTTAGTATAGCACAGACTTGTTTTATTAAAAAATCTTGCCAAAGAGAGCTCAGAACAGGGTTCATTCAGTACAGTAGCTTCAGTAATTTTCAGATGCTAATCCCCAATTATTCTTACACTCAGTTAAGTATATTTTTACTGTCCTTTTCCCACCCATCCATTTTGAAAAGTAATATTTTAATTTCATTGTCAAATATGCTAAATTGATTATTGTGCGTAAAAAGGGGGAAAAACTTGGGGAGGTCATTTAGGCAGTTTCTTTTAGTTTGATGCTGCATATAAAGCTCTGCTGTCATTGTGGATGAAAATATTAAAGAATATGTTATCTGTGTTTGTTTATTTGCCTGGTTTTTTAGTTATCTGAGGCAGATGAAGCAGCTTTAAAGGAGCCGATCATTAGGAGGTTCGAGGAGGAAGGAAACCCTTATTATTCAAGTGCAAGGTAACATATAAATGACTTTTCCAAAACTTAATTGTGATCACAGGACATAACAGTAACATCTAAATTTTGGTGTTGAAGAACAGCAGAGCAGAGCAATCTGGAACAAAGACTGTGTTTGATGTGCAGGAGTGTAACACAAGTTTCAAATCAATGTTTTGTTTGTCTGGTCTCTGAGACTTTGTAGTATGTACTATTCCAGAAGGCGGCATGCACTTGCAGGAATTATTCTGCTGGTTCTGTAAGTAATGCTGTGGTAGCATGGAGTTTATGTTCTATGTATTTTATTCTGGGTAAGTTTTCTATCATTCTGTCCAGTGTAGTATCTGGTCGCCTTTCTAAAGCCCATTGAATGGTGTAATGAGTGGCTGCATGTCTGTTAGGAAGAATTTATTTTAGTGGTCTTCTGCAAGTAGAAGAGGCTGTGTGCAACTCTCAGGTCATGATCTTGGAAGGTGACTGTATTGGATGATAGCACTCTGGATAGGGTGTTAGCTGATGGGTGCAGCATATTCACGTTTGTCAAGAAGTCCTTTGCAGCATTTTGTGCTCAGGTTTATGGAATATTAGTAAATGCCAGGGAACTAGTTAGGCTACTGAGGCAAAGGGCATCCTGGAGTGTTACCTCTGGAAACCAGCTTGAAGGCTTTCTTGGCCTCTGATTGTTAGTCTGTTAGTTTCATCCTAGCTGTACTAATCTTCCTGCACTTTTTTCTGCTTGGGGTATCCAAAAGCTAATTCTCCACAGGCTCTCAGCTGCTAGTGATGGTAGAGGATAGCATATAATAACAGGGCTTTACTGTGCCTCTGTGGCTTCTCATTTTGCAGAAGGAATATTAGTCTCATACAACTGTGGAATCTGCTGAATGTTTTTGTGAGCTGAATTAGAATTACTAATGGTTTTCTTACCTGCAAGCTGGGAAGTCTGGAAACAAACTGAGTACAGAGTGGTTAAGATATGATACATTTTGATATGGCATCATGGGGAGAAATTACGTGAACAGGTGTGTGCAAGATACTCTGTCAAAGATACGCTATCAGTGTCATAGAGATGCCAGTAAGAGAGGAGTTTGGGGGCCTTTTTGTCTAATTTGATACCTGCTTAATCTCGTGTATGACTAAATTTGATACAGCAGCAGCAGCATAGCATCAGTGAGCTCCTTTATGAATTGTTTGTCATGATCTGAAGGAAGATACAAAATTAATGGTAGTTTTTACTCCATTTTCTGTTGGGATAGTGGAATGAACTTAACTGAAATAATCATACCTGGGGGATCCATGTTAATTTCAGTGTATATTCAAATGAACGACTTCATCAAATGGAAGCTCTTGCCATTTTGCCCTGGCTGGTGCTGTGATGCGGTAAGTGTTCTCAGTAGGATATGTAGCACAGGGTTTGTGCTGTCATCTAGGCAGGTTTCAGTGGTGCAGTCATATAGCGCATGGGTCATGGATTGAGGGAGGGTTTTAGTCTTGTCACTGTTTGGTCTTTGCTTCTGGCAGAAGCCTGTTTGGTAGTGTTGCAGAGTCAGAGGTTCTCAGCTTCTTGAGGTTTTATGCATGTGTACAACCCCCACTGCTACTAATTCAGAGTGTTTTGGGACTTTTACATATAATTAACTAACTCCATCCCAGCCAAAACCAGCACATCAATGAAGATACCTTAGTGAAATCCTGAATTGTTATTGATGTGGACTTTCTGGTGGCACACTGGTTTTGATTTTTTTTTAATCTTTTCAATAGATTTAAATTTCATAGGGTTTTCCCCAAAATGAGAGGTGATGTAAACTGTTAAAGAACTTTAGTGCTATTTCTTTTAGTACCCCTTAAATATCCAGCCTAGTACCTGTCTGACAAAACCTTGTGCCCTGAGGCAGGAAGGAAAAATGAAAACATATATTGTAATATTTTATAACTGGCTTTTAAGGAGAGGAATTTTCCACTGATATAATAACATTTGAAAAATGAGTCAAGCTGTCTGTATTTAAGATTAACCTCTATCATGGAGGAGAAGATGAATGGTTTGGTTTGGTTTTTTTTTTTTACATTTGCCTTTTTTTATATGTTCACTGGAAACACAATCATAGTCTGTTTGTACTCATGATTGAAAATAATTGGATTTATTTAACATTCATCATTATATTAGCAATATAAAAACTTGTCCTCTCCCAAAAAACAACAGACCATTGTCATTATTTATAATAGTAAGTTACTAATCTGCAAGAAAGTCATGTAAGAGTAAGGTTAGAATTAAAAAAAAAACAGATTCTAAATTTTTAATAATGTCCAGTGATTTTTAGATATAAAACTTGAGTATTTAACACCAGCTTTGTGCTCTCTACTGAACAACTTTTACCAGTTTATGTTTCCATAATATCTGGCCATTTTGTGAAGTTAGGTTGTAAATCCTGAAGGCACCTCAAGTAAATAACTTAAGTTTGCCTAGCCAGGGCTGAGGAAGTGCTCTTAATGCAGGGTGTCCTGCCCTTCGTTTAAGAAAGGGTAGTTACGTACTTCTTATTGTGCCTGTAGCTTGGAAGGGAAACTTAGCGTGCACGGATGTGAGCTGGCTGAGAACCACCTTGGGTCTGGGTTGCATGTGGTTGGATTTATGTGATGCTGCACTCAAGCTAATAAGTCCATCTGAGAAGGGAAGTCAAATGTCAGAGTTGAAGCCCCGCTGAGGTTTTTCTGGCTAAAAGCAATGAAAGAGAAATGCTGCTTTTCACTGAGGAGTGTTTGTGAGTGTGTGACTGGCTCAGGTCAAGATAGTTCAGGCTGGTTTCTCTCTCTCTTCAATCTGTGTAGGTACAGTCTGCATTGTCTGGGAGCTCTTAATTGCTCTCTGCTGTCTTACAGGGATAATTAGCTATATCAGTAGATATTGCTATGTTTTCTGCCCTGATCTCATGCCTTCCTGCCAATATTACCACGTGTGCTCCTTATTCCTTCATTTATTGCTAATTCCTAAGCAAGATCTCAGACCAATAGCTCAAAAGTTTTCATTACTGTGGAGTAGGCTGTCCAAGCAGAAACAATGACCTGAGTAGGATTACAGTTTTTGCAGCAAGTAATGTACTTGAGGGAGGGATTTGGCCACCTTGCATCTTGGAGCCAACCCATTGGTGAGCCAACATCAGCAGCTGCTAATTGGCGAGCATTTGCCATAGGTCAGAGAGGAATAGTAACCTGTTCCTTTTACTCTAGAGGATGCTGCCTGTCTGGTCCTAAGCATGGTAAAAAACCCAGTTGACCGTCAACCAAATATCAGGGTGCTGTATTGAAACTGAATCTGGACAGCCTTCGTTTTGTTAGATGCTAACTAGATCCCTCCACCAAAAAGGCCAACAAGAAAACTCCAACAAACAGCTTTGTATTACTGAGAGGAAAGAGT